ATTCCTGCACTGTAGCAATCTCTGGAGCTAAGTAGCTGCTGTGCGTGCTATGCCTGCTGCACCCTTTAGATGGGCCACATGTTCTCCACTGGGCTGCAGTCTTCACCGTTCAGCTCCTTCATTCGGCTCCTTCCTGTAATTACATTGCTTGCCTGGCCCCTCCCTATAGGCATATTTGAATTTGTGACCTCTAATGTGGCACAGAAATTACTGTTTTAAATTATAGCCATTCAAAGGTTTGAACCTTCTTGTGGCAGGTATGGGTTTCCTTGGTTTTCATGAAGTATTTTTCAAGACCCAGGGGCTCCCTCTCCAGCCGTCCGATAGCAATTCTTTATTCCTCATGCATCTAGAAGGCCCCTAACTATGAGGACTATGTGTCTTGTACTTTAGGAGCCTAAGAACAAGAAAACAGCAGTGGAGGAGCAGTTAGTGCAAGAGGTGGAACACCTAAAGGCAAAGGTAGAGGCCGGGAAAGCCTGTTTCTTAGAGAAGTACAAAGAGTGTCAACGACTCCACAAACAGATCAGGCAACTCAGGGCTGCTGCACTGGTAGGTGACAGAGATAAAGGGGCCCAGGAAGCAAGGGGTGTGAAGGTTTGTGGTTCTTAGACCAGGCCCAGAGGATTCTACACTCTTGTTAAGGAGAGAAATTTATATTTCTGCTAAAAAGAGGAGGGATAGAGTGTGTGGCCAGAAACAAGCCTTGAAATCCCCGGAAATAGAGGGCCAACTCAGCCATGGGTCTCAGGGAAGGCTTTGGTAACTATTGACAGGTTTCTGTGCAGACTCAGATAGCCCTTTCTTATTTCTGCCTTTTGAGGAAGTGAAGCAGGACCTGAAGAGCCAGCAGGAGCCAATGGGGATGGGGAGCCAGGAGCCTGCAGTCAGCACTGTCATCGGGTAGCCCCTCTCGCATTACTACCTCAGGGTCGGCTAGAAGCGCACAGCAGTTTGGGCACCAGCATTCAAATAAAAAATCTTGGAAAAAAAAAAAAAAATACCACAACTAATAGGATTAGCTTAAAGTGTTTTTGTGAGGTCTGCGCATGTTTGTAGGTAGGAGATGGGAAGTGTTGAAGCATGCCTAGGTTTGGGTCCATGAAACTAGTCAGGTCAGCCCATCATACTGGGAAGCCCAAGACCCCTGTCCGGGTTCCTGGTAGCTTTGGGGAAATGCCTTCCAGGGTTCCTTCTTCCTCAGTGTAACTTGAGTCCAGGTGCCTGTCCTCACTCCAGGAGGAAGTCATGCTAAGGTAACCCTAAGTGTTGATGGAGATGTTTATTCAAGACAAAGATGATTGTATCCATGGTTAGGTGGGGTTCAGCAAGGCTTCATTTATTCCTAATTCCGACAAATCGGTCTTAAGGTTTTCCCCAAGCTTACTTTTTCTCTCTTTGGTCACTTACACTCCCAGCTAAACCAAGAGAAACCAACATCTCAATGCCAGCCCAGGGCATTAGGCATTTTAAGTCCCTTTTTTGTTAGTTAGCATCCCCTCCATAGAATCACTCCCCCACCCCCACCCCACTTCCCTTCTTCCCCACCTCAGTCCCACCACCTTGGAAAGCTAGAGCCTCTGCGATCTCCTTGTTCTATCCCACCTTGGATCCTGGTTACCATATGTGATCCTAATCCTCTTTTTTTTTTTTTTTTTTTTTTTTTTTAATTTTTGACAGGACCAGAACTTTGACTTGTCAAAAAGACTGAGTGAAAACAAGATTATGTGCAGTGTTCTGCAGAGAGAGAAAGAGAGAATGGAAAGAGAAAACGATGTAAGTGTGTAAAAGCGTAGAAAACTCCAAGGTTTTAAGGGGAAGAGCAGGGTGACCCAGAGATGTGGTGACAAAGTAAAAAGTTAAATGAAAGAGCCCCATCTGGGACAGTGGGCGAAGATAGTTGCTTCTAAACAGAGTAAACTTAATCTGGTTTCCTGATCTCCCACAAAACCCTCTCTTTGTTCAATAACAAACTCGTTTGCCATGGCAGTAGTAAACTTGAAAGGAACAGCCTCGATGAAGATCTAAGTTACTGTTTTTGGTTTTAACTTCACCACTCTTGTAAGTTTTGTCTTTGGAGGATAATATCCTCCGTCAGTTATGCTAGCTGAGGCACCCCTTTCCTTTAGCACAACTTTTTCCTTTTTCTCTGCTGCCAAACCAGGAGCAGAAGTGGTGGTCTGTACCAGTACTGGACCCGTGGTAGGACCCTAATAAATGCTATGCATTCATTCATTCATTCGTTCATCAGTTCATTCATTCATACGACTAGTATTTATTTTCTGCTGTGTGTTAAGCACGAGTTGTTATTATTAATTGAGGATGATGGCAGCAAATGAAGTGGTTGCACTTGAAGTCACTGTCATGCTCTTACCAAGCATCAAAGAGCAGGTGTCCGTGCATTCTGGCTGTGCCTCTAACAGTTCTCCATCGCCACCCTCTCTGTAACCATCCTGGGCTGTGCCTCCAAGTGATCATTTCTGCTTTTGGTTTTATTTATGCCGGTGTGTTTCAGTATTACAGAAGGCATCTGTTATCTGTTTCTTGCCATGTCATTCTCAACCTCTTGATCTAGATAAGTGTACTTTGACTTTGAAATCCCTGTTTTCATGGGACAGTCTGATGGGGCTGGGCAGGGGTGGGGAGGGTGAGCACACACAACTTACAAGAAGGCAAAGATCTGAAATTAGGAATCTTTGTTAAGAACTATACTAAAGCCCTCTTAAGATGCTAAGGGGCAGTTTACTAATTTTCTTTTTTCTAAGAACTTTAATTCTGTCTGTCCCCCATTGTAGCTTATTCTTTCTTGTTCTCTCTCATTTCCTCCCTTCCTCTATTCTTTCCACCCTCTTACTCTCTCTGTTGGTATATCCATTTGATGAAATAAAACATGAAGAAGGAAAAATTGTATCAGATGAATAGTCACATTGTGTAAGAAAATTGTTCTAGGAAGGAGACTTAAAGAAGCATTTTACTCTCAATGTGTAACAGTTTTAGTCTTAATATAGCTCCTGCCACCCTCATATATCCACATAACTTTTGTACCCCTTTGAGCTGGTATGTATTTAGAGATTCAACATTCTTTTTTGCATTAATCTAAAAAAATTCAGTATGTGTTTAAATTCAAATATTAAGAACTCAGGTCTTTGGAGTATGGAGGCTACTACTTCCCCTTTTGAAAAATCATGGTTTATCATTTCCTGGGCTTCTTCACTACCACATTGTTAACTGAGAACAACCTGTAATGGGCATCCCCCAGCCAGCTCCTTGGGATCCTTCTTTGTTTTTGTCTTTCAACATGTCTCTATAAATATTCTATCTTTAGCTTTTGAAGAGAGAGAACAGCAGATTGATGAGTTACATGGGTCTGGACTCTTTGCCATACCAAATACCTACTTCAGATCAAGGAGGTGCAGGACAAAACCCAGGACTTGTCTATGGAAACCCATATTCTGGTAAGACGACTTTGCCGTTCAAGCCGAAAGGCCCTGCCTGCATCTCTTGCCCCCACTAAATTTTTTTGTGTCTGAAATGCTAATTAAGACCAGCCTCATTGTTAAGACATTCTGGGCAGAAGCTGAGGACCCAATAGAAAGATTGCCAGGCGAGAAGTGTTAATTGAGAAATAAATCTGAATCCAGAAGACGCAAATCAAATTATTCGCCTAGAGGCAGCAGACACAAATTGAGTCCCGTGGCTATATTCCAAATATATAAATCAGAGAAATGTCTCTGAGTGGAAGATATACACATACAAAGCTGAGGAAGCTAATTAAGGTTTAGAAATGGAAGCACAAGAGGGTGTAATGCTGCCCAGGAATGGGCAGTGACACTAGCCACCCGATGGCCTGACCAAGGGTAGCAGGTGTGTGTTCCACAGAGACCCCCGGGTGGTTTGGAGGGCCGGAAATGGAGATGACAACCACTCTTGTCACTCAGAGACTGGGGATCAGATGTCCTTGCTAAACAGGGAACTTTCCTCTTTTGTCTCCAAAAGCGATATGAGACCTCATTTGCTTTTTTGGACAGTTTAAAACAGTCGTATTCCTTCAAGAGTCACAATGAGATCTTTGCAACAGGCAGTACAAGTTTTCTTTTTCTTTTAAAGTTTTATTTTTCTTTAAAAATATTTTTTTTAAGAATTTTGTTTGAAAAATAACTGCACGGATTCAGTCTTAAAATCTATTCTCACACTGTTTCCTCGTTAGATTTTTACTGTTTTTATTAAAATCTCATTTTCCACATACTGAAAATAGGTTTATTGTTGTTTCTGATTATATGATGTATACATGGCTGTTGAAAATAACACTTCATTATTTCTTCCTTTTTTCTCTCATCATTGACCTAGATCCCTTCTATCAGAAGTATTGGTTTATATGAGAGGTAGAGGCAGTGGGAAGAAAGGGAACAATGGGATTTACAGAAAACTGCTGCTACAACATAGTTGGGGAATATAGGGATGATATTTTTTCATCAAATGAAATCTTTTTTATTATCCTCAGGTATCCAAGAAAGTTCTGCCCCCAGCCTGGTAAGTGTTTTGAGTCACGAGATTGAGCTCATCAGATCCTTAAGAAAATTTCCCTTCCTGCTCCAGTTCATGGGAGAACCATAAGGAAACTGGTTCATTTTGATAATTCCAGAAAACAGCTGGATCAATTTGTTCAGTGCCCAAAGCTGAGCGAGCCTGTTGGGGGCGGGGAGAAGAAATCACAGTTCATCCATCAGCATTCTGCTCAAGATACATCTCCACTGTGAGCTAAGTTTGGTAGCAAGACTAGGAAAGAGATGTGAACTAGGCAGCTAGCCAAACAAGCTATTTGACTAATATTAGGTCCTTTTGATCCTGGGGTTGGAGAAATCCCTAGTGAGTACCTCCAAATGTGAACTTATTCATTCATCTTCTATATTTTGAGCACCTACGATGTGCCAAGCATCGTGCTAAGTGCTATGGATGTAGTGAAAAGTAAGACAGACATGGTCTCACTTTTTTACTGACCCCTTTGTTCTTCCTCCCAGCTCCCTCTCAAGAAGTGCCCCACCTGCAAATCAGACATCACTGATGACATTTTCGATCACACCTTGGAACAGCAGCACATTCAAACCCTTTATTTGAATTGTCCCATTTGTGACAAAAGCTTCTCAGCAAAAGAAAAGCAAATCTTTGAAGACCATGTGTTCTGCCACACTTTTTAAGTGTCCTCGCCTCTTGGATCTATATACTGTACATAGATTTTATAGAGTACAACCTATGGCTTCTACTATGAGTTATAACCCAAGATCCTGCCTAACCTAAAATTATTAAGGATTTATTCAGTCCTGCTGCCCTAAAGGTAGAGTCATGTGGATTATCTGAAAAATACTATTAAGGGCTGTTACTTCCATCCATGTGCGTTACCACTTTTTAAAGCACGTAACTGTCCGCCTCTTGCCTACGATGCCCATTCTTGCAAGAATCTCTAGTACAAGGTCTCTGGGATGGAACTGACCTGGCCGTTCACAACAGGCTTGACCCAAATACTAAGTGATTATTTTTCCAAGTTGTCCCACGACCACTCAAGATCAGGCCTTGAGTGTGTTTTATACTCATTCCTCAGTGTTAACCCTGAGGCTGGAGATTGACCAGAGGTCGAGAATTTCTTCCTCCTCTTCCTCAGGCCTCTTTCTCCAACTGATTGTAGTAGACTAGCCAAAAATGGCATGGCAGAGAACTCAGGCATCCATTTTGGATACCAAAGGCTTCTTATCTTGACTTCTCAGCTCCCAATAGAAGCATCTTATTCCTTAACCATGGACATGAAAAATTTATTTCAATCACAGAAAGCCTTCTTTCTGGATACCTATGATTGACATTTTCTCCTTTTTGATTTTTCCTGTGCACATAACTTTTATTTGTTGTTAAGCCTTTCTTCATGATTAGTAGGAGTGGTTAGAAACTGTATGAGTTTGCAACTTTCCAAGCAATGAGTTTGAATATGGATAGGTCAGAATAATGAAAATTAATGTTAATCTCTTTAATACTAAAAATAAACTAGTCCTCTGTTTCAGGGACTTTGATAATTTAAAAAACCTTGAGTTTGTGGTCTTTTTAAGCTTATGGGAAAAGTTTAATCAAAAGGATGTGGGAAGTGTGGACCCCATCAATGATTTCTCTCCACGTGCTGTAACTAGTCAGCAGACTAGTGTCCTGGCAGTTATCTTGAGGTGAAGAGGGAGGTGATGAAGCACTAGTTTGAGACTTCTTGCTGTAATTTTCCATGCAGTTTTTGAAAGGGGGCAGAGTGGATTTTGGCACCTTTTGTGAACCAAGTTCAGTTCTCTCCATCTAGATTTGCCTAATTGAACTATAAGAAAGCAGTTCCATTTTCTCTCCTCTCAAGGACTGAACAAATGGAAATGACTCCCAGGCAGCCAACCAGCTGGTCACTATAAGCACTTCTACAAAAAACTTTTGAGTGATGTGAAACATGACGTCGTGGGTAAAGCTGAGGCTGCTATAGCTGCATTCCTTCTGGGGTTTTCCCTGACGTGATTGGAGTTATGCCTTACACTAACTGTATTGTCCTGGTCACAGCACTTTGCCTTTATTTCTCCTTTGATAAAATGAAAATGAAACTATCCTACCACTCCTCCTTTATCATCATTTCAATAAGATGTCTCTCAGACTCATAAACCTCTTGCCTCATAAGAATCAGATGTATCATTAAAATTACCCTAGAATAGAAATATAATGGGGAGATGGTAATGCAGTTTTTCCAGCAGATACCCTTCCTCCCTGCAAACTTTCTGTTGCTCCCCTGATAGTTCCAGGGAAGAATTGCAATTTCATTTATTTTGTACTAGTCAGCTCTTAATTAAACACATGAATGGTAAGGAGTAGTGGTGCACATAAATCAGTGTATACCATTTTCTGATGAATTAACCACCCTTTTGCCCCTGTCACCTTGCGGGTTTCTGTGATTGTCAACAGGCTTGGTTAAAAAAAAAAAAAAGTTGAGGTGTTAATGATCCTTTTTGCTGGATGTAAAACAAAGCAGCTTTAACCACTGTTCATTATTCCCAGCAGCTCTTACCAAAGCTTTGAAAGGGAAATTATTCTCCAGGCAGCTACTAGTGGTAAAGGAAACAATCATTCTTGTATAATCCACTCCTCACCCCAGCCTTTTCCCTCTACACCTCTCACATCCACACATTTTATAGCTGTAAAATACCTGCAGAAAAAATAGCAGAAAGTATGGGAGCAAAGTAGTATTAATATCTAAATTAGATTTTAGGGTCTTTGTATTTAACAATGGCAACAAGTTTTCCTTCCTAATTCATTGTTCTCTTGGTCTAATATTAAAATGATTTTGTATTACCTTAGCACACTTACTTGAGAGGCAGTGGGAAAAAGTCACCTTGGCACATGCAAGTGTGCGTGGTGGAGGAAATCTAACCTAAAATCAGAAAAGGAAGAGTTGAAAATCAGAATTTAGTCCCCTAAGAATACCTGTAGCTTCAACCCTTTTCTCCATTCTTGCTAAAAATTGGGATGAAATTAAATGGCCTTAATGCCTAAATATCATTCTCCTATGATTCGAGTGATTTTCTACATTGGCAGACGATTATATTGAGCTAAGCATGCTCTAACCTGGTGTCCTAGCAACAAATGTTAATGACAGGAGAGGCTGGGGCTAAGAGATGCAGTACATTACCTAGGAAAAAATCAAAATGGACTTAACATAGCGATCAAACCCAAAGAGACACTCACTTAATTTTCCTAAGTTAACCAACAACAGGCTATATATGCTCAGGGAAGTCAAACACTAGCCACAGTACTCTCCTTAGTTGATCTCATACAAATATGAAAATTATATCATTACATGCATATAATGCTTTAGAATGTCGTTTATAGTTTTATAGGTGAATAAGTTGAAACAGAAAATAACTTGCTAAAAGTGGAAACAACCTAAATATTCATCAATTGATGAATAGGTAAATATGGTATTTCCAAACAATGAGATTATTTGGCAATAAAAAAGAATGAAGTAGTGATATATGTCACGACATGGATGAACATTGAAAACATACTAAGTAAAAGAAGCCAGACACAAAGACCACATTTTGTATTATTCCATTTATATGAAATGCCCAGAATAGGCAAATACTCTATAGAAACGAAATGGTGTTTTCCTAGGGCTAGGGGTTAAGAGAAATGGAAAGTGCCTACTAATAAGTATGGAGTTCTTTGGGGGTAAAAAATATGTTCTAAAATATATTGTGGAGATGATTGTACAACTCTGTGAATGTACTAAAAACCATTGAATTATACATTTAAAATGGGTGAATTGTACGCAGTGTGAATTATATCTCAAGTTGTTATGTTTTTAAAAGGTTAAAAAAAGCTTTTCCACACTACCCAGAAAAGGGTCCATACGGCATTGTTCTTGGTTCCCACGTAACTTAAAGGGAAACTGTCACAATGTCCAGAGCCCTTGACGTCCTGCAAATGGAGGAAGTAGATGTCCTCAAATTCCTTGCAGCAGGAACCCACTTAGGTGGCACCAACCTTGACTTCCAAACAGAACAGTGAAAAAAAAAAAGTTAAAAAAATAATTTGCTAAGGTTATACGTTGGCTCATGGTAGACTATCTTAAGTAGAGATACGGTACAGAGCAAGTTCAATGTTGAACTTGGTCAGAGTACACTTATCTCAGTGCAACCCACTGCCACAACAGTGTTGGGTTCTCCCGCTATCTTGGGCTGGAGACAGCAGCTTCAGTTGTGATTAACAGGGTCAGGGCAATTAACGGTAGCCCACCACTTGGCCAGGAGCGTTAGTGGTCTCTGGGAATGTCTGTTCTGTGGAGATGAATGTCCCCAATAAATTTGGGGAAAAGAGTTGCCAGCCCACAAATCCCAGGTAATCATATTAAGGGAATCCAGCCTGCTCTGCCTAATGTTATTACTTTTTTGCTGTGGAAGGAAAGAATATGACACTCCAGGGGACTAAGTCTATTATTTACTCAGTCAATCAACATTTATTGAGCACCCACAGTGTGCAGAACCAGTAGAGGGCCAGGATTACAAAAATAGAAGACAAGTTATTCCCTTGAAAGATCTATAAGATTAATGAAGACATTTTCTCTGCCCTCGGGGAACTCTCGAACTGCAGGAGGAGAGAGTCTCAGGTTTTCAGCGTCTCCTAATCTGATGGGGAAAAGAGAAAGGCACTCACAAAAGCAATGTAAGGACAAAATGATAAGGTATCTCACAAACTGAGGACAGAAGGCCTCTGGGACCTGAGTGTTAAATAAGGTGTGTTATTAGAGTGTGCTTTGGAAAAGGCTGAGAGATAGAAAGGGTAGACAAAATAGGGAGGGCATCCTGAGGGTCTCTTAAAAGGGGGAGAAGTGAAGTGAAGGCAGAGAAATCGGCCCAGAATGCCAAAGACTTTTAAGCAAAAGTACTAGCATATTCATAAAAAGAAACCAGTTTCTGTCCTGGAAGACACTACAGTCTAGTTGAATCACATCTAACAAGGTCATCTGAGCTCAGAAGAGACAAGAGCAAGGGTGGGGAAAGGACGGTGCTTATAAGGATATAGGAGCGTCTCAGAATCCCACTGGGGACTGGAGCTGAAGGTAACAGAGATGTCTTCCCCTGCCGTCTCTCATCCTTCTTCTCAGCCTCTGACTGGATGCTTCTCTTTCACTCTCGGCCGACTCTGCCTCCTGGACCACATGATGTAAAAGTATTACTGCCTCTGGCTCTGGGTTTTTAAGCTACTCTGACACACACACACACATTTTGAAAGGATGGGAATCTCTTAGTCCAATTCTAGATTCCCTGAGGGACTCAGCCATGCTGGGGTGAACCAGCGCTCACTACTTGTTCAACTGTGGCCAAAGGGTCAGTCCCCCTGCACCAACACGGCTACTCTTAAACTCCACCCCTCAATCCCATGAGGATATGGAGGGTCGGGTGTGGGGAGAGGGAGATAGAAGAACAGGTGTGAGCTGAGCATACAACAAATAATTGCAATAATATATAACAAATGCTGGGGGTGGGAAGGTGGGATTTGAATCTGATATTTAAATATGAGTGACTCTTAGGTAGAAAAAAATTGGGGAGGATGCAGTAAAAAGGCATAGGGTGAAATAGTACTCAGCAATAGAAAGCCACAAACCTGATACATGAAGTCGCTTGACTGAAATCTCCAGAGAATTATGCTAAATTTGAAAAGCATATTAAATTATATGCTATATATTGTGTTTATTTAACAATCTTGGAATTTCAAAATTATAGAAATGGAGAATAGATTAATGATTAAGGAGAAGGGAGGTAGGTTTGGTGTAAAGGGCTATGTGAGGGGTCCTTGTGATAGAACCGTATCTTCACTGCGCTGGTGGACACAAATCGACACGTGATAAAACTTCATAGAACTGAATACACATGTGAATGAGAACCAGTAAAATGGGAAATCGGAATAAGATTGGTGGATTGTACCAACGTCAGTGTCCTGGTTGTGATCTTATGCTAAAGTTTTGCAAGATGTTGGAGGAAACTGCAAAAAAGGATGCACAGCCTCTCTCTGTGGTATTTCATACAACTGCATGTGATTTTACGATCACCTCCAAATTAAAAGTTAAAAAAAAACAAGACAAAACAGGAGCTTCAAAATAGAATGTCAAGATGAGAAAATTGCCACCCTCCACGTGACGAGAATGTGGTGTCCCTAGTGGGGCACAGTGAGACAGGAGCCTGGAAGGACAGTTAAAGCCCGTCTGGGAAAGGCTTTGTAGACTGTTCTGAGCAATATTCTAGACTTGGCCCTATTACAGGCAATAGAGAGATTTTGAGATTTTTTTTTTTTTAACAAGGGAGTGAAGTAATCAGATTTGTATTCTAGAATGATCCTTGTGGTTCTAGGCTGTGGAAGCACTGGGGAGAATAAATTGGGTGCCTCGTGTTGAATTCGATGACCCTGCCTAGTCTTCAGGCAGCACAGTCTAGCCCCTGCCAGTCACCTCTGTGCTTTTGGAATTGAACGGTCTATTTCTTGGTATGTGCCAGTGGACACAGAACAC